GGCGCCGAATTCTTCCTTATCGGTACGTGGCGCCTACGTGCCCATTTAAGCGGATTCAAGCGCGTGGTTTTCAACCGGTTTTGGGAAGCTTCCAACCAGTTTTTTCAGCCGCTTTTCTTTATTTTATTCCGATTTTCTTGGACAAGGTTTTGTTTGCTTTACCAGGCTTGGTTTTTTTGTTTCTATTTTCCTTTTCTTTCTTCTTCTTCTCCCTTTTTTAAAATTCGTAATTTTTTTTCAGATTTCTGAACTTTTTTGAATTCGTGTATTTTTTTTGCGACTGCGAACGTTTTCCAAATTTGCAAACTTTTTCGAGTTTGCCAACATCTTTTTATCAAATTCGTGAACTTTTTCACTTTTGTCGCAAATTTGTTTTGGAAGCCACGAACTTTTTTTGAGGTCATGAAATTTTTTCAAATTTAAGATTTTCTTTTAGTTAAGAACATCTTTTTTCTAAATTCATGAACATTTTCAAATTTTTCACAATTATTTAAGCTGTGAACTTTTTTTAGGTAATGAAGAATTTTGAAATTTGTGAAACTTTTTCGAGTCCATAAACATCTTTTTGTGGTAATGAAGAATTTTCAAATTTGTGAACCTTTACAGTTTTTGTCATAAAAAAGTTTTGAAGCCCTGAACTTTTTTTGAGGTAATAAACAGTTTTTAAATTTTTGAACCTTTTCAGTTTTTGTCGTAAAGAAGTTTTAAATCCGTGATTTTTTTGAGGTCATGAACACTTTTCAAATTCATGAATTTTTCGAGTTCGTCAACATTTTTTTAATAATTGGTGAATTTGTTGTCAAATTAGTGACCGTTTTTTGAAGTCGCAATTTTTTTTTGAAAATTTTGACCTTTTTTTCAAACTCACAAACAATTTCTTTTTTCCAAATTCTTACCCATTTTGAACAATTCAACAGTCGACCGATCGAACCAGGGGAGCGAGCGGGCTTGGTGAGCGCGTGACGCATAGCTGGGTTGATCCATTGTGCATGAGCGTGACAATAGAAAACAGCCTTGTGGTAGAAGAATAGAAAAATCCATCCTGGACCGTCAGATCGAAGATGGATGGCCCATATTCTAGTGAGACATCCCCAGTCCACTTCATGGACATTTTATGGAAAACCCCCTGCTAATATGTAGATATAAAACACATTTTTTTATAGTAATCACCTCAACTTTCTCATATTTAATCGTTTTGTCCTTGGTAAATAAGACTAATTTTCAAATCCTCTCAACGTTGAGGCCCCATCTTTGCACATAACTGTTGCATGTATACTTGAGTACAAATAGTGGCTTCTACAAGAAAAAATTGAACATGTTGGCCGCTAATTTTTTTGCCAATATCCATCACAATATTTGTAAAACACATTAAACTTATGCCATCTCATTCAAGTGTATGTCAAACTGAACCATCCCAGACACAAATAGTTGAGCACACGTCAAGTTAGACCATCCCAGGCATGAAGATCTGAGTAGATGTGAAACTGGACCATCCCACACATAAATAGTTGAGCACACGTCTAGTTAGACCATCCCAGGCATAAAGATCTGAGTACATGTGAAACCATCTCAGGCACAAATATTTGAGTACATGTCACTCTAGAGTCTGGACCATCTCACTCACTAATGTCGAGTACATTATCAATCTGGAGCAGCAGAAGATACACAAGAGGCATGCAATACATAACATGGCATGGACATTTCTAGTGTTGTGCTATCTTGAATGCAGAGAACAGAAAAGTTGTAGCGCTTGCGTCCGGTGCTTGTGCTTCTTGCTCATCAAGGTTTATGTGCTGGAAAGATGACACCAAACATATAGGAATCAGTTTGAGCACAAGACCATGTATGTATCACACATCCGTACTTCAAAATATTTGCTCCTGAGCTAATCTAATGAGTATGCATTAATAATATCATTTCACTAGCAGGAAGAGAACTGTACGCTGCATAGTCATTTGTACACTTCACTTAATATCATCACTAAACTTGCAATAACAATTTGGTCAGGTATAAATTCTGCCATACAGGGGAGAGCTTATTTTTTGCATACAAAAAGGTAAAAGTTTTGCCTTTATTTTCCAATCAGAGTGTTATTACAACCAAATGAGGAAAGAGCAAAGAGCTAACAAAATTGTTTCACTAAAGCAAAACGATGCCCGACCACGACGGCACCTTCTTGTCCCTCTGCTCACTCACCTGTTAATCTTCTCGCGATGGCTGCTGCTAATCTTTGAATGGTTGTTGTTTGTTCGCTAGTTACACGGCTCACTCTTTTGCTAATTTCCCATTAGGTAGAGGTAGCTAGATGTGCACGTGTTGGTGCTCATGGACTCGCTGCTTAGCACGTGGTGGGTTAATTTGGCAGAAAGAATTCTTGTCCTTGTTTTGATTTTCTTGCTATCAAGTTCATCCTTGACTACTAATACTAGTACATCAGATTAACTGATGGAAAACATTTGCCTCTGCTTAAAATAAAGCCCAAATCATCAAATTCCTCAAGCAATGGATCGGCAACATATTTTTTTTGTACAACAACAGCAATACATCGAACGATCTGACCTATATACATGTTAACAAAGAGGATATATACTTGATTCTGTTATGTTGTTGGGGCAGGCACTCAACAAGTGATAGCAGAATATTTGAATGGCTTCTACACAGGCCAGGTGCTCTGCTGCTAGTTAAACTACAGAGGTCAGGGCTAGCTACAAAACGAGTCGGCGAGTGTGGCATTGAGGAGTTAGGTTGCGGTACAATCGTTGTACTATCCTCGGCTACAGGCGATAGAAGAAAGAATATGCATCAGCATCTTTTGGTTCAAGCAAACTGAAAATATTTTCTCCCTGTTTGTTCATGTATGACGAAAACTTAACTCAAAATATAGAAAGCTTTATGGGAATAAGAAAAAATAACCATAGATCCAACTAGAAGATACTTACCCATTGAATGATCATTTATTCCCAGAAATGGTACTCCATTCTATTAGTTTTTACGCTCTTTTCATCTACATTCGATCACATGTGCGAGGGGTCTCCAGAGGTCCTGAATATAATCAAGTGTGATTTTCTTATTGCAACAACTAGAATGGGTCAGTAATAACGTTTTCTACAATTTCATATAATGGATCATGTTTAATAAGGTGCGCACCAAAGCTTAAGATACTTATATGATGGATCAAGAAAATGGGCAATGTGGCTGATTGTACTGTTTTCCTAATTTCATCTCAATTGAAAGAACCATTTTGGCGCATGCCAAACCTGCATTCCTGAAGACCCGAGGTCTG